CTACCACTAAAAATGATTCGCGGCACAACTGATTACAAGACATTGAGGGAGCGTCTTGCCCGTCACCGTTTGCGTTCTCCCCGCAAGATAGCTGGTCATAAGTTTAATAAAGCTGTCAGAAAGTCCAACGAAATATTTAAGCTTTTTGCAAAGAAGGTCATGATTTATAAGTCAAATGCTTTAGAAAAGTCCAGGAGATAAGGAAGAGTTAAATCACAATTGTCAAGTCGTATCCTTATGTCGTCAAGAATTTTCAGCATAGCCGTAGGGCAGCTATGCAGATTATTTTCTTGAATAAATAATAAAATTTGCGCTGCCATCAGTGACTCAAACACTTTCGCACATGCTGTCAATGTACTTATCGGCCTATAATCACTAGGGCTAGTAGCAATACTCTTTTTGGCAACAAGGATTATTACAGCCTTCTTTCATTCTGTTGGGAAGTATGATGTTGTGAAGCAGTGATTGATATCATGGGTTAGTGTGCCCACAATAAATGGCAGCACAATCTTCTTAAAATTCAAAGATATGCCATCGTCATCAATGGCATTGGACTTGATACCCATAATAGACTTCAAAACTTCTGCCTCGGTTACTCCGCCAAATTCAAATTGTTAGTAAAGTTTTGAGCTGGGGGACTATTACTGCTCTTACTGGCGCTGGTAAAATAATCATTATACGTTAGGGTCAATTTCACATTCAGACTTAAGTTTTTCGTGTACATGTAAGTTTTTCAGATTGCGCCACAAGTCTTTTGATAGTAGGGACGGGTTCAATTTAGAGTTACAGAACAATCGTTTCGCACGTCTTATAATGGTAGCTACGTTTCATGCTATTTTGTACTGTGACCAAGCAAAGTCGGTATTGTTTCGTCTCCATTTTGCATGTGATTTATTTCGAACTTTTATAGCGGAGCTGACTTTATTATTATACCAGGGACACAAACTATTCATAGCCTTTACAGCACGTAATGGAACATTATATATACTATAATTTGGTAGATAGTAAATAGATCACTAACATTTACAGACTTGAAATCACGATACATAATGTCACACTTTCAACAGTACTATTAAACGCAACATCTACTACAGAAAAAATTAGATCATGGTCACAAATATTGCGAATTGTGTTCGCGCAAGTGAAGACGTGTTTTTTCACAGCTCCGCTGCCTTTGATTTATTTTCAAGTGCGCGATGTCTCTATGTGTTAATTGTGGCTCGCAGTGTGCCGCTAGCGACTTTGTATCTTGTGGACTTTGCTCGCTTAGATTTCATCTTAAGTGTACTAAATTAAGCCCAAGCTATCTATTTGGTCAAGTTTAAAAATATGGTGTAGACTAGAGGTGATAATAAGATCTAATAGGCTAGGATGCGAATTGTTGGCATATCTTGTTGGTACGAATTTATTGACTACCTTAAGACCTGCAGTAGATACATGGTCAAGTACCTTCAGAAAATATAAAAGCGAGTTTGAAGAAGCGTTAAAAACAAATCAAATGGAAATGAAACAACTACTGGTGGCAATGGAAAAACGGTACAATGAAAGAGTCGCAGCTCTAAGACCTCAGTACGAAGACTTTACCATGAAAGCAGTGGAGGTTACCAAGATTTCGGAAGCTTTCCAACTGCAAAGTGAAAAGGTTTCTAAAAAGATTGAGAACAGCAACAACGAAAATAAAAATATGCAACAAAAAATAAAAGAAATAGGGACCAATAAGTCAATAATAAAGAAAAGACCATATGCGGATGTAGCTAAAAAGGATCAAACCCAATCAGCTGAGCTTATGATAAGAAAGGAAGTGCCATTAATTATAAAACCGAGAGAAAAACAAAATGTAAAAAAAAAACAAAATACGACTTAAACAAAAAAGTTGACCCTAAAGGCTTAAAAATTGGAAATATTGAGCATAGGAATAATGGAATGGTATTAATTGAAAGTGAAAACGACAATGAACGAAAAAAAATAAAAAGTGCTATTGAAAATAACATAGCACCCGAATATGAAGTTAAAATACCAGTGTCACTTAAGCCAAGATTTAGTATAAATGCAATTCATTATAAATATGATGATAAAGAGATGATTCAGAAAATCAGAAAGCAAAACGATATTCTTGAAGAGTGTCCACTGAAAATAATAAGACAGTATGAAAAAGTAATAGGGAAAACAAAAATATATAATGTTATTGTAGAGACGGATATCGACTTCTATCCACAAATAATCAAAGAAGGAGAAATAAATATAGGTTAGGAGCGGTGTAAAGTATATGAGAATTTTAGAATAGTCAGAGCTGGAAGTGTAGTGGTTTCTCAACCATAAAGCAGCAGAGTGTAAAAATGAACAAAAATGTTATAAGTGTCATGAAAGCCATTCTGAGAAACAATGCAGTAAGGACGTGTTGCGGCAAGGTATTAACAGTAGTAGTGTTAGAATTAATTTATATAACGCAATTTTTATTTAAGTAGACTTCACGNAACCATAAAGCAGCAGAGTGTAAAAATGAACAAAAATGTTATATGTGTCATGAAAGCCATTCTGAGAAACAATGCAGTAAGGACGTGTTGCGGCAAGGTATTAACAGTAGTAGTGTTAGAATTAATTTATATAACGCAATTTTTATTTAAGTAGACTTCACGTCAAAAACCTTACAGCCACCCATACCACGATTGTAAAGCTTATCTACGTTCTAAAATTCNATACCATGATTGTAAAGCTTATCTACGTTCTAAAATTCTTCAACTTAAAAAACTAGTACTCGGGGTCAATCGTGTGACATATGTACATATATAGCTAACATACAACCGCGATCGACAAGCCAATCAGCGACTACCAGCGCATCAAAAAGCTCGCACGAAGAGTATGCACAAAGCGTGGACTACGATGACCAGTGCACTCTCGTCACATATGTTTATTGCGGTTGCTGTGCAGTTGAAGCCTCTGAGTTGCATTTATCTTTAACATTCCGCTCACCTCGTCCATCTTGTGCGACGACATGTTCAGGGGAGAACCGCCCACCGTGTGAATCAATGTCAGGATCGATTGGCAATGCGACCAGCTTGGAAATGGCTCGCTTCAATGTTGACGTTGCAGTACGTATAGTGGCCACCCTCCCAATCCCATCATTTCCTGGGTGTATGTCCACAACTCGGCCGAGGGGCCATTGCAAAGGGGGAGCGCGTTCATCGCGAAGTAAAATTAAATCGCTAGTTTTCAAAGTTCTGGTGGGTCTGTTTCCATTTGTATCTCATTTGTAAATGTGGCAGATACTCATAGCTCCAACGTTTCCAAATGTATTTGCTGCAACGGTTTCCAACGCTTGAGTCGATTGGTGCTGACTTCGAGTAGGTTGGGTTCCGGTATTGCGATAAGTGGACCGCCCACTAAAAAGTGGCCGGGAGTGAGCGCAGTTAAGTCACTTGGGTCATCCGTCAAGGCACTTAATGGCCTAGAGTTTAGCGCTGCCTCCACTTGCTTGAGTACAGTGAAAAACTCTTCAAAAGTTAGTGTTGCACGTCCGATGACGCGCTTTAAATGGTGCTTTGCCCCTTTTATTCCAGCTTCCGCATATTTGGAGAGCCTGGCGGTATGAAATGCCAGGTAATACCCCTGACTGATCCAAATCGAGCTGCCGCTTCCAACTGCTGTTTTCAGGCTGCAAGGTCAGCCTTCAGTTCTGCATTCGCACCCACAAATGTAGAAGCACAATCGCTCTATATATGAGAGCTGTATCCTCTTTGTGAAAAAAACCGCCTCAGCGCAGCCAGGAAGGCATCTGTGCTTAGGTCGCTGACGAGTTCTAAGTGAACAGCACAAGTAACAAAACAGACAAATAGTGCGATGTACCCTTTATAGCTCCGATAACCTCTACCTTGTGTAGTGCGAATATAGTAATGTCCACCGTAGTCGATACCGCAATAATCAAACGGCTTAGTAGGATTGCAGCGATGTGGGGGAAGGTTTCCCATTAATTGCATGAGTGTTGGGGGGTTTTGCCTGAAACATTTTACACATCTATGAATATGTTGCTTAACAGCTGGCCGAGCTTTGATAATCCAATAACGCTGTCTTAAAAAGTTGAGAGTCGCCTGAGTACCTCCATGCAACGTGGATTCATGAGCATGCGTAATTAACAGCTTTCTCAGTGCTCCATCTTGTGGCAGAATTATTGGATAACGTTCTCATGCAGAAAGAAATCGTGCATTCTGCAGTCGTCCATTTAGTCGAATGATACCATCTTCATCAATGACTGGGTTAAACTGGAGAAGTTTGCTCTTCATGCTGATCGGCTTATTCGTGCGAAGACAAGAAAGTTCATTATTAAAATGTGTGTGTTGAACGTACCTGAGCCACAGCTTCAATGCTTCTGTTCGTTCTCCTGCAGAACACCATGGAGTCGTTTCGTGGGTTTTTTCATCAACGCTGCTATGAACCGTTGCATAAACGCGGTAACTGCTAACAATTTGTTAAGGTCTGAGTACTTAGAAAGGAGCGTGGCCAGAACCGACGGAGGTTGATGTGATGGCATTGTAGCCAACGACACCACAGTTGCTTCAGTCCTGGCTGGCCCGATGGAAGGTTGTGTGGGCCATTGATGAGAGTGACAACGAAGCCATTGCGGTCCGTCCCACCAAATAGAAAGCTCCTTCAGTTGCGATGGCATAAATCCCCGAGATGCTGCGTCCGCAGGGTTACTGGCGGTTGGCACATATTTCCAAGAGTCAACAGATGTGATTGCCTGGATTTTACTTATGCGATTACTGACATATTGTTTGTATTTTCCAGGATTTGATCGGATCCAGCTGAGAACTGTTTTTGAATCAGACCAACAGTATGTTTGAAGGTATGGTAGTTGAAGTGTTTCCGAAAGCTTGGTCGCAAGCTGGGCTGCCAGCAGAGCTCCATTTAGTTCCAAACAGGGAATTGTTATTTTCTTCAAGGGGGCGATTTTTGTCTTCGCAGCCAAAATGGCAACATGTACGTTTCTCGGCGCTGTGTCGAACCTGAGATATGCTACCGCAGCATATGCTATGGCGGACGCATCGGAAAAGACATGCAGTTGGTAACCTCTAGAGTTAGGTTCTACACCGAGCCACCTTGGAATTCTAAGACGCTCAACTTCACCTAGCTCCTTTCGAAACCGTTGCCATTCTTGCTGAAGTGGTTCGGGAATTGGGTCATCCCAGTTTAAACCGGCCACCCACAACTTCTGACACATAGCTTTTCCAGTTACAGTTATCGGCGCTAGTAACCCTGGAGGATCGTAAATTTTACCGATGTCTGATAATTGCTGCCGTTTGGTGATTTGGGTTGTTAATGGACTCAAGCTAACCTTATATGTCAAAGAGTCTGAATCACAGAGCCAATAAATGCCAAGAGCTTTAGTTGTACGGTCCAGGTTGAGGTTGCAACAAATAGTATTCTCTTTGTCATCTGCACTTAACCGCTGCATGAAGTCTACAGCGTTTGAGCTCCACTTTCGTAGGACGAAACCACCTCTTTGGAGTAACTGTCGCAGTTGGTACTGGATTTCCAAAGCAGCATCGACGGAGTCAGCTCCATGCAAACAGTCGTCTACGTAAAATGATTCTCGCAAGACCTTAGACGCCTCAGGATAAGTTGACTCTTCATCATCAGCTAATGTTTGCAGCACTTTAATTGCAAGATATGGTGAGCAATTTAAACCGTACGTGACTGTTAGCAATCGATAGGCTGCTGGCTCTCCTTCTGTACCTCTCCATATAATACGCTGCATGTCAGCGTAATCACGGCTGACCAGAATCTGCCGATAACACTTTTCTATATCTGCCATGAAACCAATGCGGTGAAGCCGCCATCGAATAATTATTTGGCTTAAATCGCCAACATGAAGACAGTCGTTTAGTGAGATGTTTTCTATAGTTTTACGGGATGCATTGAAAACTGTGCGCAATTTGGTGGTTGAGCTCGATTCCTTGTACACCCCATGATGCGGAATATAGCAAACAGTTCTCGGCTCCTCGTTTTCAATTACCTTCTCCATGTGCCCTAAAGCCAGGTACTCTGTCATGAACGTGGTGTACAAATGATCCATTTCAGGGTCATTTCGAAGCCTAGCTTGTTGAGACCGAAACAATTTAATTGCGTCAGCTTTCGAGTTGGATAATTTTGTAAGATCACAATCGGCTTTAAACGGATACCGAATTTGATACCGCCCTGAGCTAGTTCGCTGAACAGTGTCTTTAAAAAACTCTTCGCAGAATAATTCGTCTTGTGTCATTTTAGATGGAGGTAGTATCTCATCAAATTCATGAAATTTCCACATCTGCTGAACTAAGCTGCTCAGGTCATCAGTGGTTGTTGCCGTGAAATGTGTTGTACATAGTTGGGGAGATGCAGAGCAGGGTATGCGTCCGTAGATAACCCAGCCAAGATACGTATTTTGTGCTATGGCCGAACCGCAGGCAGTGTGCTTGATCCCACCTTTTACTAAGAGACCGTAGAGGTCTGCGCCAATGATGACGTCAATTGAGCAAGGCTCGTAGAAATTAGGATCTGCTAGTGTGAGATCTAGAAGGTCGATATAGGGCTTTGGATTGACTCCCTTCAATGGTAGGAGATTTCCCAAACTTGGTAGGATGAGTTCAGAGCAATTGACACTAAACTCCGGGTCTGTAAATGAACGTAGAGTGTATGTGACTATACCCTTTGAGTCACCAACGCTGTGACCGCCAAGACCGGTGATGGGAATTTGCAACCGGTTCCTACGAAGTCTTAATTGTTGAGGGGTATGCTCGCTTGTGAAGGATGCTTGCGAACCATTATCGAGTAATGCTCGAAGTTTTATGTACTGTTCAGTCGAGGACTGCGCTTTAATATAAGCCGTAGTCAGCAAAACAGCTGAAAGGCAGGTTTCAGCATAGCTCGCGAGTCGGTTAACGCTGTGGTCTGGACACATTTGAAGTGCAGCGACGCTACTACGTTGAAGCGACAAGCTATCATGAAGAAGTGTGTGGTGCTTCTGCGAACACCTCAGGCAGGTGTATGAGGATTGACACTCGTTTGTAGAGTGAGTTGCTTTTACACAATTTTGACATAGTTTGAACTTTAAAGTTGGTTCAAGCTTCGTTGCTGGTTCTTTCCTTTTAAACTCAGCGCAATACATTAACGCATGCTTACCTGAGCAACATAGGCAACGACCTACATTGGTCTGATGACTGCGAATGGAAGTCAGAGCTGTTGACTAATTAATAGATGACGGTTCTTTAGTTTTGGGTTTGGAAGCCGACGAAGCTGCTTCTATCCCCTGAATACGTTTTTCCAAAAACTGCACCAGAGTTGTATATTCTGGTAACACATTCGGAGATACCAAAGACATTTCCCACTCTTTGACTGTCGCTGGGTCTAACTTCTCGGTTACAAGTAGACCAAGCCAGTCATCCCAGTGTTCTCTTGGCCATCCTAGTTGCTTTAATGCGCGGACTGATTCTGTGGTAGTATCCAAAAGTTTTCGCATGGCACTATCTGGCTCATTGGTTATCGCCGGAAGTTTCGTTGTTAAAGCATACCTCAGGCTATAGCAAAATTTTTTTCCTGGATACTAATACTGCGAAGAAGAGTTTCGGCTTCACCTAGTAAACTGCCTTTCAAGTAATGCAGGCATTGTACATCAGACAAACAAGCTTCATTTCTAACGCATGTTGTAAACATATCTTTAAAACTTAACCATTTTTGAAACGAGCCATCGAATTTTGGCAGAATATTCTTCGGAAGCTTTGACGCTGATGTATTTGTAGTACCGCCGCATGTACGATTGAGTATGGTTGCAGGACGATTTTCACTACGATGATAGTCAAATTCTTCGATTTTTTTTTTTTTTAATTAATCCCAACGGCTTTTTACCCTCCATTCCCGCCCAACCGACACGAGGGGCGCAGTCCGCATGACGTACGGAACCTTTTTTTTTTTTTAGTTTTTTCGTGCCGAGTAGTGGAAACAGGAGTTTGTTAAGTGTCGAGATCTAAAACTGTTCAGCTACAGAACTCAAATTCATCAGCTGATTGGATATGCTAAAGGTAGTATTTCAATTATTGCGAGTGGAAATAATAGTTTTCTTTATAGTAAAAATCGAGTCCGATACGTCAAACGTGCTGGAATGACAGTTAAAATCTTGACATAAACCACGGAATGATTCGTTTAGTTCAAAATTAGTTTTGCATGGCTTTAAAAATAGAGGTCGTAAGTGTCTTGACACTCGAGAAGGAACATTAAAATTTACCTCAGCCAGGAGGGCCGGGCTATTAATCAAGCCTGTCATTAATTTTACGATAAATATTATACCCAGCATTTCTCTACGACTTGCGAGTGTAGGCAAATTTATGAGCTTTAGACAACTTGTGTAAGGGGGGAGATTGTAATCTGAATCCCAGTTAAAATTACGCAATGCAAAAAGCAATAATTGTTTTTGAATTGATTCAATCCTTCCTGAATGAACTTGGTAGCGGAGATTCCAAACAATAGATCCGTATTCTAGTATAGGTCTAACTAAACTGGTAAAAAGAGCTTTTGTAACGTAAGGATCTTTGAACTCTTTTGACCATCGCCTTACAAATGCAAAAACGCCTTTGGCTTTATTGACTGTAACATTAATATGTTGGTTGAAATTGAGTTTGGAATCCATTGTGATACCAAGATCGACAAAATTGGATACCTGCTCCAGATTATAATTTGATATTGAATAAACA